CGGGGCGGGGGCGCGGGCGGGGCGGGGGCGGGGCGGGGCCGGCGCGGGGCGGGGGCGCGGGGCGGGGCGGGGCGGTGACGGGGCGGGCGGCGGGTTCTGGGATCCGGGCGGGGCAGGAGACGGGGGCGGGGCGAAGCGACGTGCGGCGTCGTGCGACCCACGGGCCGCAGCGCTATTCCCAGAGGGCGCTCCTGGGCGCACGCCAATTCGGACGAAGACGCTACGGACGAAGACACGGTGGACGCGGAATGCTACGGCAAGAGGGCTGGTGCTTAGATGAAAAACAAACAATCAGAATGACTGCTGTTCGTATTACTAGTGAGACACCAACGGAGGGATTCATATGGCATCAGCCTCCCAACCCTCCTCCTCCAGAAAGGCAGATCAAAACAATCACAAAAATGTTTTTTTCTGCTTTCTTTTTCATCCGCCGGTAACGAAAAACCCTCATTCAATATATTATTTATCTCAATTTAAATGGCGTTATAAATTACTATTTTAATTTAATAGATCTACTGCAGATACCTTCAAAATTTTAAACATGAACTAAAAAAATCCTTTGTAAGAAAACTTTTTCCCAAGATCCACTCTTAATCTTTCAGTTGTATCCTTTCGACAATATTCCTGTTTCGTTCAAGTGAATATTTATTTATGCTTAACATAATATTGAAATTATGGCTGTTGCCTTACAAGATGACGAATGTTGAGAATTTCACAGGGTCATTTTTCCAGCCGGGTTCCAATCCACTTATTTTCGTTTGCTTGTTTCCTTTGTCACATTGATTCATATTTAATCAGGACGTAATCGGGGGCAGAATTTTTCAGAAAAAATATTTTTTTAAAAATAGGAACATTCCAAATTTAAAAATTTATTTTTTTTTTTTTACAAATCTGATACTGGCAGAAGGAATCTTTGGACGATGTGGCAGGGAAATTAAATCCAAATTGACATATTTTTCCGTCTGAGTTAATTTGTCTACAAAGATAATTTCCTCCAAGGACCGAATATATTTTTTTTTGTGCAGAACCAAAACACAAAAAGTACGTCATAAAAAAAAACAGTACATGATTCACCCATTCTGGATGGCTGTCTTCCAGCATGTAATGTGTGAACATTTTATTTTCATTTTTGCACCGTGTGCATGTTATTGCGTACGACGCGATAACACGTGTGCCATCATATAATGTGACAAGTTTGTTTTATTGATTATTTCTTCTCTTTTTTTGTCAGTGATTATACCAGACACTGGCACGTAGGCACTCCGCCAATTGCTTTTGTTATGCACATCAATAATTAACGCCCATCCCCGCCCGCAACCAACCCCCACAA